CAGCGACGGCGGCGACGGGGCGGCGACGGCGGCAACATAGCTCAGACGACGGGCGGCGACAAAGCGGCGACAAGGCGAGGACGGGGCGGCGACAGCGCCTACATAACCACAAGACCGACACACCAACCCAAAGACTCAAAACAGAAGTGGGGCCCCTTGAGTACAAGTACTGCTTGGGGATTAGTAGAAGAGCTCTCCGTAGCCGCTGTGGCCCGAGGCGAGCCCCAGTGCGCGTTTGCGCGCGCGCCCCCCTTCGGGTGGGCTCTCTGGTGATGAACCAGCTTCTCCAGGCGCCCGCGCGCTGTGCTGCGCTTGCCGCGTCGGCGGTGCGGTCCAGGCGGCCACCCGCGCGGGGGCCGATGGCCCCCGCTGGTGTGCAGCGGCAGCGGGTGGCGCGCGGCGCGACCGGCGCCGGCGGCGGCGCCCCGAGGGTGCCACCGCTAACGTCGGAACGGTACGCGGTGTCCCGTGGCGCGTTCGCCCGGCTGTCGGGGGAAGACCTGGCCTTCTTCAGGGCCGTGCTGCCGCCCGAGGACGTGCTGGTGCAGGACGGCCAGGACGGCGCGGGCCTCGAGGCCTACAACGTGGACTGGCTGGGCACGGTGCGAGGGCGTGCGGGCGTCGTGCTGCGGCCGAGGACCGTGCAGCAGGTGTCGGCGGTCATGGCGCACTGCCACGCCCGCGTGCTGGCCGTCTGCCCACAGGGAGGCAACACCGGCCTCGTCGGAGGCTCCGTGCCAGTCTTCGATGAGGTCGTCGTATCCCTGGGCAAGATGGCCCAAGTCATCAGCATAGACGAGCTGTCCGGCGTGCTCGTCTGCGAGGCAGGCTGCGTCCTGGAAGGCCTCGAGGGCACGCTGGCCGAGCATGGGCTTCGGATGCCGCTGGATCTAGGGGCCAAGGGGTCCTGCCAGATCGGGGGCAACGTGGCCACCAACGCCGGCGGGCTCAGGGTTCTGCGCTACGGATCTCTGCATGGCAGTGTGGTGGGCGCGGAGTTTGTGCTTGCGGATGGCACCATAGTTGACGCCCTCTCGAAGATGCGTAAGGACAACACCGGTTCCTACCTTCGGCAGCTCGTGATTGGTTCTGAGGGAACGCTGGGCATTATCACAAAGCTGTCTATCGCGTGCCCTCCAAAAGTCTTGTCAGAGCATGTTGCCTTCATGGCGTGTTCGTCCTACGAGGCTGTGCTACAGACCTATAGGGAAGCGAGACGACATCTGGGGGAGATATTGAGCGCCTTCGAGATGCTGGATGCTGCCTGTATCGACGTCCTGCGCCAGTGGTCGGCGGTGAAAAGTCCGCTAGAGACGCAGGCGCCGTTCTACGTTTTAGTTGAGACTGCAGGGTCCGATGCAGCGCATGACGAGGAGAAGCTCCACCGTTTTTTGGAAAGCGCCATGCAGAGTGGATCCGTGCATGACGGAGTGGTTGCTTCAGAACCTTCAAAGATGAGATCAATTTGGGAGGTTCGCGAACGGGTAACCGAGACACTGAAGCATGACGGGTATGTGTACAAGTATGACATTTCTTTACCGCTGCCAGACTTTTACAGGGTCGTCGAGGACACCCGCCGCCGATTTGCGGGTGACTCTGGTGTCACGCGCGTCGTTGGATTCGGGCATTTGGGCGATGGAAATTTGCATCTGAACCTGACGGCCTCTGAGTACAGCGAGCGAGTTCAATCGCGACTTGAGCCTTGGCTCTGGGAGTGGACTCAAAGAGTCGGGGGCTCCATCTCTGCAGAGCACGGGGTCGGTCTCAAGAAGCGCGACGTGCTGGAATATTCGAAAGGCCGGGAGGCGATCGAACTCATGGCCAAGTTGAAGCGATCGCTTGATCCGAATGGTATTCTTAACCCGTACAAGATGGTGAGGGTACCAGGGATGGCGTGAACAATCTATCTTCTCTTCGCTCTCATCGTTCGCGTCTTCGTCATCCTCCCTCTCTCCGTTTCCTCCTCGTCCGTGCTACCTGGATGTGTGAGTCTACACTGCCAGCTACGGCCTTTCTGGAAAACGCTGCCTGCTCAACCATCTTGAGTGCATCCACCCGCCCCCCTTGGCCCGTTGATTGGTCCATCTGGCCTCTCTGGGGCATCTTGATGCCAGCTGGACGGCTATTCAGACGCATCAGAGGCAGAACAAGGCGATAGCAGCAACAATTGTTTGCCTCTCGGGAAGCCTCGGATGTGAGGGGCAGAAGATGAGACACGAGGAATAAGGAAATACGAGGACAGAGGAACGATGTATACGCCATCGTGGCCCCGGCCCAACGGGGATGAGTCGAGACCCTGGATTGTTGGGCGTGCTCCCCACAGCGCTCCACAACCCCTCTGGTCGGCCCAATCATGATGTCCTGCGGCAACTGACAAGAGCCCCAAGACGCTCCGATAGTCTTCACACGAGCCCGCGAGAACGACCCTGCTATTCCTCAAGGACTCTCAACATGAATCTCCCAAAGTCCCCACGGATGCCACAAGGATGCGCCTGAGACGCAATCACTCTCAAAAACCATACTTTCCGCGCTGGGAAGGCCGACCGCACAGGCGCCGCAGCTCTCCGATGGATCAACGTTCAGGGGCGATTGTCGGTGAAAGCTCCCGCCTGTTGTTGGTCCACTTCCGCGTGAGAGTCCCTCAAGTTCTTCGAATTCTTCACGCTTCGCGTATCCCCACCAGCCCATCTCAAAACAGCAACTCTAGCGAAGCATGCCGACAGTCGTGTTTTTCAGGCGTGTTTCCGCCTGCCCCCGCATATCTCCCCTGTGCCTCCTTCCTCCCGCCTCCTTGTACATCCTCCTTGTGGTGGGAGCGGGAGAAGGACGAGGCGGAGGAGGAGGGAGAGAAAGCGCTCCTCGTGGTTTGAGTCGTTCGGGCTTCTCGTCCTGGTGTGAGTCGTTCGGGCCCTTCTTCCTGGTGTGAGTCGTTCGGGCTCTTCGTGGTGTGAGTCGTTCGGGCTCTTCGTCCTGGTGTGAGTCGTTCGGGCTTCTCGTGGTGTGAGTTGTTCGGGCCCCTCGTCCTGGTGTGAGTCGTTCGGGCCCCTCCTCCTGCCCGTCCAGAAACGACGCCCAGGCGAGTAGAGGGTCGTCCTGATGGGCTTTTCGGCGTCTTGGGTGCCTCGGGGGGGCCTCTTTGGGCCGTTTGGGATCCTCTTGGGGGCCTCCTGGGGGCCTCTTGGGGCCATCTTGGGGCCTCTTGGTGCCTCCTGGGCGCTTCTTGGGGCCATCTTGGAGGAAATCGATCAAAGAAGAGGGGAGCTTTAATTAGCGCTGCCCCCTCAGAAGGCCAAAATGGGCCCAAAACCTTCGTAAAATCAATGGTTTTGGCTTGAAAGAAGAGGAGAGCTGTAATGAGCGCTGCCCCTCAGAAGGCCAAAATGGGGCCAAAACCGTAGTAAAATCAATGATTTTGGCTTCAAAGAAGAGGGGAGCACTTTTTCTCCCCCCCCCCCCCGTCGGGGCCAGAATCCTCGTGAGGGGTGTCGTTTTTTAGCCCTCCCAGGAATCGAAAATGACCCCCCTGACGACCCGCGGGGCGCCCTCTCCAGGCCCAGGGGGAGGCGGTAGGGGGAGGGGTAAACCCCTCCCCGAAGGGGAAGAAGGGGGTTGAGAGCAGAGCGGGCGCTCTAAACCACTCACGCCCAAAGGGCCGGTGGGACTCCGACGTACGCCTCACGCAGATAGCGATGGCGCCTCCATGGTGGCTCGTTCGTGGGGAGAAGGGGGAGAAGGAGAAGGAGGAGGAGGAGGAGGAGGAGGAGGAGGAGGAGGAGGAGGAGGAGGAGGACGGGGGGAGGGGGAGGAGGAGGAAAAGGAGGAGGAGGAGGAGGAGTTGATAAGAAACCGAGCTCGGCATCCTGTCGGCCTCTGTAGTCGGGGTCTGGGGGCGTGGTCTCCGAGGAAGGAGAAGCGGGGGCCGCTGTGCAAAGGCCACACTTTGACCCATGCTTCCTCATGCTCCTGCTCCTCCTGCTCCTCCTCGTCCTCCTCCTCCTCCCCTCCTCCTCCTCCTCCTCCTCCTCCTCCTCCTCCTCCTCCTCCTCCTCCTGGGGCTCCGGCGCGTCCCGCCGGCCACTCGCTTGCAGGAGGGACAGTGCTTGCGCTTGGTGCTGTTTCATTTGCTTTCTGGGGAGCTGTCCTGCGGGGCCGCCTTTCACATGGGGACTCTTACGCGTGGGCTCGTGCGCATTGTTGCGTGATCTCCTTTGCTCTGAATAACAGCAATGCTATGTGCTGCCGCGCTGAAACGCACCGAGGGTTGGCGGGCTCTTTTGGGCAGTCTTTCGACCCGGACCCACTTGAAATATCTAATGGCCTTCGGCCCATCCCGCCTCCGTGCTTGGGTTGTGAGTGAGAGGCCTCTTGGATATTCGTTGGACTGTCGTGGGAGGCCTCTCGGGATCCTGCTTGGGTCAGTTTGAGGTCTCTTGGGGGAGGTCTTGGGCCTCATGGAGCGTCTTGGGAGCCTCGTGTGGGCCTCTTGGGGCCGCCTGTTGGGCCTCCTGTGGTCCTCATGTGCGTATCTTGGGGCAGCTCGAATTGTGGGTTCGGGCTGCCCCTCTTGGGCCCTTGTTGGGGCCGTCTCGGGGCTCTCTTGGGCCGTCTGGGGCGCCTCTTGGGCCGTCTTGGGGCCATCTTGGGCTATCTTGGGGCCTCTCGGGGGCCTGTCGGGTCGTCTTGGGGCGATCTGTTGGGCCTCTAGGGCCGTCTTGAACGCCGTGACGCCGAAACGTAGTATATGTTCAGAACCAGCGTCTTCCTGACGGAATTAAGCGCGTTGTGCCTCTGGGGGCCTTTTTGGGAGGTTTCTTGACATTGAAGGAAGATCAAAGAAGGACCTGATGACATTTCAACTCGTGCCTCAGTTCACGGTGGCGGATATTTTGATGGCCCCGAAAACGTCCAAACGGCCCCCAGGCCGAGATAGAGGAAACGGCCAAGACCACAAACGACGGCGGCGAAAACGACGATGGGAAGCGAAGGCCGGGCTTTTTGAGGTCCTCAGCGACGCGCTGCTGGTCCTGAGCGCGCCATCCCGCGGCGGGGCCGCCGGCGAGACGGCGAGCGGCGACACGGCGGCGGCTTAAAAAGACACCCTTTCCAGGAGGTGGAGGGGGAGGCTTGGTCTCGCTCGGGCGTGTGCACTCTTTCTCGGCGGGGGTTATCAAGGAGCATCCTGGATCATCCTGGGAAAAACCACGCCCGAAACCGAACACAAACACAGGGAATGCCAGGAGGGGCGGGGGAGGCAGGAGAACGGCGCGGAGCGGAGCTGAGTGTCGCGCTGGAGGCGTCGGCGCGGCGGACAGAAGCGCAGAGCGGGCTTCGCTCGTGCAAGCCGGGCTCGATGCCCTGCCAGGCACGGAGCTTGAAGCGAGCCGGTCGCATCGCCCCATCAGGCCCCAGGGCAATTCTAAACGCTTCGCGTATCCCCACCAGCCCGTCCAGAAATGAGCCCCAGGGCAGTGGAGGTGATGAGGGAAGCGGGGGAGCATGCAGAAGAACAAAGGGTGGGGTAAGCCGCCATATACCCCAAGAGGGGGAGGATGTAGGAGGAGTCGTCGTCGTCGGAGTAGGAGGAGGAAGAGGAGCAGCAGGAGGAGGAGCAGGAGGAGGAGGGGGAGGAGGAGGAGGAGGAGGAGGAGGAGGAGGAGGAGGAGGAGGAGGTGTTAACATGCAAGCATGCGTGTGACAGGGGAGGAATAGTAACCCCGTAGCCATTTTGGCTCAAGTGTTTAACGGTCGAATCCACATCGACCAGTTGTGCCGTTCGGGAGTACAAAGGTGACCTATCGTTATCATTGTCGCCAAGCTCCCGTGCAGAACCCTCCTCGGGGTTTTGCATGGTAGCGGAGCGCGGTTGCCATGGCAGCGGCAGCGGCAGCTGCGGCCAGACCTGGACAGGGCGACCCGCCAGTTAATCTCAATGTACCGGCAGACAGAGATGCATGGGTCAACATGGATCCGAATCGATTCAACGATCTGTGCGAGCAAGCATACGTGAACGGAGACTTCAGTTACGTTCAAACGGCGCTACTCGCGAACCACTTTGGACTCGCAACGTTCATTAACGAGCGAGTAGCACAGGACCGAAGGGAAGTATCGAACGCCGAAGCATTCCAAATGTTACAAAGTGCCCACAAGACCAACAGTATGCTGTTAGCGATCACGAAGAGAAACGCTGCGCTCGAAAGGGATGCTCGCAGACGGGTGGAAAGAGTCACCGAGTTGGAGACTAACAGTGAAGTACAAGAAAAGAGAATCGAAAGGTTCGGTCAGATCTCGGAAGCAATCAAAGGAGGAAGCGGAAACAAGCACGGGAGCAGTAAACCGATAAGCGAATATAAAGCATTACAGGCGCTAAAGAACTTCAGTGGGGAAAGAGCGAAGTTCAGAGACTGGAACGACAAATTCTTGAACGCACTAGCCCAAGTGAAGCCGAGTTACCGACCGGCACTGAAAATGCTAAACAAGGAGCTGGAGACGCTTGACGGAGTTGTGCCAGAAGAGGACGATGATGACATCATACGCATAATGAACGGTCGATTAACTGCAAGCGAGTACCTGAAGGCAAGTCAAGCCAAACAAGCCGAGGACGACAACAAGGGCGATTATGAGTTTACCGAAGGAGACAAGACTCAAATGGAAGAAGACTTATGGTACATTCTGAACGAGAAACTTGAAGGTGCGGAGGCCAGAGGAAAATTAAAGGGACTGATGGATGGAGATGGAATCATGGCTTGGCAAAAGGTTGCAAATGGTACTCGGCAGTAACCGGTGCGACCTTATCATCAAAAATGACGCATGCCATGAATCCTGAACCGCCCAAGAAGATCACCGACACCGTTACCAGACTTGAGGAATGGAGCGCTTTGGCAGAAAACCTTGAGAAATATGGCAAAGATTACTCGCTGCCTCTTCCTTTCAAAGTCACCGCGCTCAGGGCCATAATGGTGCACGCGAACGACTGGTTTGACGAATGGCAGCAGGCATGTTGGCGAACGCCTGACGCGCTTAACATTGACTCATTTCAGAAATTATACTCAAAGTGCGAAGACTGGGCGCGTAAAAAGAAACTTGACTCAGATACAAAAAATAAGGATGCAATGGACATTGGGAATATCAACGAGATGAGTCAAGGGTCCGAAAACGTTTGGGACCAAACAGGATGGGTTGACGAAGAGGGAAACTGGTGGTCAGAGGATGGATCGTGGAATCACGGGTCCTGGGCCAATGAAAGTGACGGTGGAGAATATGAAGAAATTGACGCCGTAAACAAAGGTAAGGGTAAAGGAACGGGCCCCAGGTGTTACAATTGTGGAGGCATGGGCCATTTAGCCAGGAACTGCACGAGACCCAAGCAGTTCACCAAAGGAGGTAAAGGTGGCAAAGGCGGAAAAGGCAAAGGTTACCGAGCCACTTACGGGTCCTATGTGAAAGGTAAGATCGGAGGCAAACAAGGGGGTAAAGGAAGTAGCTCGTGGGGAGGAAGCTACGGAAGCCGAGGGAAATTTACCCCGCACAGTGAACGTGAATGTTACAAGTGTGGCGGAAAAGGGCATATTGCCATTAACTGTCCGGGCTCCAAGAAGACCGCCAATGAAGTTGAGCAAGAGAAGCCTGTAGTGAACACTGAAACTGAACAAACCACCTCGTTTGGTCAACCACAGCGCGTTCTCAGCGTCGAGATGAAGGAAGCAATGAACGTGTCGCTAGACCAGACTGCGATCGAGGAGGTTAACGAGAAATGGGACCTGCCCTATTACGCCAGAAAGAAGACGGCGCGTGACAACGCGGTAAACTTGAGAAGAATCTATCAGGAACACCAGTACAACGGGGACCGTCATCATGCTAGTCAGTGGGATCAAAGAATAAGTAAAAGCGTGAGGCAGGAAAAAAGTTGGCTGGCGAAATGCAAGGAAATTGGGCTAATTGAGATGCGGGGATGTGATCCAGAGATTAACGCGGTGCCACCGCCAAGTACAACGCATGAGACGATCGTGGTCACCGTGGACTCCGGCGCCTACAACACAGTGGGGCCCCCCAAAGTTGGCACTCATTTCCCTATTAAGCATGCGGACGCGTCAAAGCAGGGACGACACTACAGTGCAGTGAATGGAACCACGATAAAGAATTATGGTCAACGCGTGATCACAGGTAAAAATGAGCATGGGAACGCAGTCAGTATGCCAATTCAGGTAGCAGAGGTCAACAAGGTCCTAGGGTCGGTCAGAGAAATGGTAAACGCTGGAAACAGAGTGGTGTTCGACAAGGACCCTAACGGGAGGTCCCTGAGCCACATCATGAACAAGGCGACTGGCAAGTTAACAGCCATCCACGAAAAGAATGGCACATTCCAGTTCAACATCACGGTGCCGAAGGGACCAGCGGAAGTCGTCAATCCCAGGAGTGAAGTGAACGTGACTGAGGGTTTTCCGCGGCCGGGAACCCTGGAGGCGGATCTGTTCTACTAAGCCCCCCGTCACCCGTAAGACCAAGCGAAAACTTAAACGTCTTTAATACCGAAGGAGACGAAGGGAGTGAAAGTGGGGGCAACGACAGTGAGTTAAGTGATGTGGAAGATGTATTTGTGAGTGACGAAGCAGAGTTACCAAAGAAAGTTTACTGTGACATGAGGCCCTCAAAAGAGGAAGTTGAAGCGCATAACACGACGCATCTACCTTGCCGAAGCTGGTGCCCACATTGCGTCAGAGGAAAAGCTCGCAGACGCAATCACCGTAGACGCAAAAGAGAGGGGAACGGGAACGTGCCAGTAATTTCAATGGACTACATGTGGCTTAAAGGAAGAAAAGATGAAGGTGAAAGCAGCAGCAGTGGCAACCCAATTTTGGTCATGCATTGCAGAGAGACCAAGTTGACTTGGAGCAGAGTGTTAATGAAAAAGGGAGTGGACTCGTACTCGGTAAAAGTAGGATGTGACATGATAAGTTTTACCGGATACAAGAAAGTGATACTCAAAAGTGATGGGGAAGCGGCAATCACAGCATTGGCCAATAGGATTAAAGCTTCGTGTGATCTTGACATGGGAGTTGAGGTCAGCCCAGTGGGAGACTCAAAGGCCAACGGCGAAATTGAGAGAGCCGTTAGAACGGTGCAGGGCCAGGTCAGAACGTTAAAGAGCGCCTTGGACGCCAATTATAAAACTGAGTTTGGAGAAAGCCATCAGACAATACCTTGGCTGGTGAGTTATGCGTCCTCTTTGATTAACAAGTTCACTATAGACACGGATGGGAAGACGGCTCATGAGAGGTGCAGGGGACGAAAATTTAACAAGCAAATCCCAGAGTTCGGTGAGTGTGTCATGTATTTAAAGACTCCTGCGCACAAAGGTCGTGAGAAGCTCGAAATGAGATGGGAAAGTGGAGTGTTCCTGGGCATGAACGAGAAGAGTCAAGAGCTGATTATTGGGGCGCCCCATGGCGCAATCAAGGCGCACGAGTTTAAAAGAAAAGGAAGTGATGCTGAGAGATGGAATATTGCCGAGATCACCGAAGTAAAGGGATTACCTTGGCAGCCTGACCCAAGCACCGCGGGAATGGAATTACAGTCTAGGATCATGGTACCCATGGATCTACCAGAGCAAGAGTTAACTGCGCCTGAGACGAAGCCACTCATTGCAAGAGGAGTTGCAGTTAAAAAGCACGAATACTTGAAAATGGGACCGACGCCAGGGTGTTACGGATGCAAATGCCTCGTGAGAGGAGACAAGGAGCACAAGCCGCACAACGCCGATTGCAGGGCTCGAGTTATTAAATGGTTAAAGAAACAAGAGAGCCCGAACATCCAAGCAAGATTAGCGTCTGCCCAGTTAAGGCTTGAGAGTAAAAGTCGTGCACCAGAAAATCGTGAACAAGAATCAGAAAGTCGAGCGAAGAAAATGAGGATCAATGTACCGCCCCCGCCGAGCGCCAAAGTTGAGGAACCTAAGGACGAGTGGGTAATAAAGGGGAACAAAGTTATATGTCAGCACCGACGACCGAGGAAAGAGTTAGCCTTCCCCACCAATGGTGGGTGTCCAGTGGACTGGGACAAACTTAAGCCTAAAAGATATACCCACGCGATCATGATTG